CAAAGAAAATAATAAATACTGTGAAAGTGTACAGCGCACCAGTTTTTCTAGTTATTTAGATAATTATGCAGCATACACATTACTACATTAGTACATACTACATAGACGATAGACATACAAATATACGATGAGTCCATCGTATACTATGTCATCGACTATACTATGGTATAAAAGATTACTATATTAAAAGTACCTACCATGTTAACAAAATGTATAATTTATTAATATGCTTAATTTGTTGTGCAAGTTTACAGATTAAATAGAATAAATTAAAAGTTTAATAATATCACAAAAATGTTAAAAACTACTCGAATATAACTTATTTATTTATTTTTACATGAGTTACCATTATGAAATTTAGAATATTGCATACGTTTCCAGCCGCTTTATATATTCCGCATCTCTTTTGGATGTAAAAAACAGCCTAGCCTCGACATCTCTTAATGATAACTGAATGTCAATTACATCATCAACACACTAAACAATTTCTTGTAAATTTGTTAGTTGATTTATATTTTAATAATGTTTAAATTTATCTTTACACTTCAGTAAAGCACCAAAAAAACAAATTAAATACATACAGGGTCGGACTGGCCTATAATGTAGACATGTGAAAGCCCACGACCTTCTGCGTTCTGCCCTTCTATAAATAATAAAAATGTTTTATAGTTTACTTATATTTTATTGCATATTGTTCATAACTGTACACTTGCGAAGTCCATAGCGACATATTCTACAATTATTATAATGTAAAAGTATTTAACATCAAATCACATTTTTGTTATTATAATAATTTATAAAAAGTAAATATTTGTTTTAATTTTTCACATTTGTATTATGTAGATATAGGTCGGTGGTATTTATGCTATATGTTATATTTTATCAATAATATTGTAATCAATTATAGGTACCTTAAAAACATGAGTAAAATTTAAAAAAAAGCGGTAATGAGAAAAGAAAAAAACGCTGTTAAGAATACAAACTGTTGATGCGAAGTAAAGAAAATTACATTTTTGGAAAATTAATCAAGTTCTAATCTTTTATTCATGGCTCGTTCTTTTGCACTATTTGTTATTCTGTTACCTATCTAGCGTTAGGAGTCAATCTTAGTGATTAGTACGATTAATATGGACAATTTATGAACAACTTTGAGACCTATGTCCTCAAACAAAATTGCTAAAAACTATAAGTCAATAAACGTCAAACGAATAACGATAAACATAATTGATAATATTATACTTGGTTTTACATTATTTTATTTTTGTATTAATAATAAATTAACTTAACACACATTTAGTTCTCTAACTTTTGAGTTGGGTTTATTGTCAACTATTAATATTTTTTTTATTTTCATAATCTCTACTCGTATAAGTGGTTCTAAAAACAATCAAAGTTTGTTTGACTAAAAAACTGTTTTTTAAAAATTATACATCAATATGTAATATATTTTGTATTTGAAATTTAAAAAAAGAGAGTAAGTTTATGTCACTTTGCTGTACATTAGGTGTCTAGAAAATTGCTGTAATGGAGGGCATTCAATGATATGATATCATAGTATAGAAAAACGATTCTGAGCGGAGACGGTATGTCAGTCTAGGATATTTTATATTGTTATTACTAATTATTACAGTAGGCGATAAGCTAAATTAATATTATTCAAACAACAACTTATTTCTATAATAATATTATTTTGTAGTTTGCAGTAACCATTACTCAGCAGTCAGCTATGGCAGCAATGCATGGTCTTAAATTCAAACCACAGTTATTGGAGATCGACGAGATCGTGTACTGCAATCAGTACCTATTCAATTTATCGGTAAATACTTTATTATTTTTTTATACACTTCATAAAGCCACCTTTTTCTGAATTAGTGGGGTGCGAGAGTTACCATCGACTTGCTAGGGGAAGACGAGGCATTTGAAAATGTTTGCCCCTGGGCAAAAGTCAGTTTAACACAGCTCTGTATATTATATTAACAGATATAATAGATTTATATAACTAACAGATCTATGTTCAATAGTTCACCTTCATATTGCCCGTAAAAATGTACCATTGTATAGAATGACCACTCATTGTATTACAATGACTACTGCTTATCTCCATTCAAATATTGAGAGCATAGTATGGTCCGGGCATTCTATTACAATGGCCGATTTTTTCACTCGGGTTAAATATAAATGTATAAAATATAATTTACATGTAATCTGTTAGGTTAGTCGTCTCGAAATTATAATATTCCTATTACACAGCACAGCTACTACAGATAAAAATGCCCGTATCAATTTTCAAATATTATATTTTTTTGTGGTGGCTTTTCATATTTTCAAGGGTGTTAATTTTCTCTAGTCACCATAATAATTGCGTCAATATTATTTTGTGAACTGTTATGGTTTGGTATTAAATTTTACTATTGGGCAATAGGAATCACGCACGTTAAATAATTAAATATTATACAAATTGTAATTATATTATAATATATCGTATATATGTTTGTGCAAATCACGGGTGAAATAATTAGTAAGCAAATTATATATATATATTATATATTATGTTTGCGTAGCCGTAGATGACTTTATTTGAATAACAAAATTTGTATAGCTCATTTATACGTTACATTTACATAGGTACAATTTTCAAGAACACTGCCCTTAGCCAAAGTACCAATATATTTTATTATGTGCCCACCTGTTTTTTTATGTAATTATATTTTGAACTTCTGGGCCCCCACACGAGTTCTTTCAGTTGGCCCAGTACTAGGTACTAGTTGCCTAGTACTAATGTCTAATGTCATATGTATATGAAATTAAATCAATAAAAAAAATGTTTATATATATTATAGGAACATACCCATCGGTTAAAAGATTTACTAAATTTACTATTTAAAAAATACCTAGTAATTAAATAAAAATAACAAAAAGTATAATTCATTTTTCATTTAGATCATAATATTATACACCTATATATTGCTGTTGATACCTACTAGTAAGTTTAACAGTAGAGTTTCGATATAACTTAATTCTGTGTTTTGAAATGTATTTTTAAGTTTTTTTCAGAGAAGTCGACATTATAATAAATAGTAATTACCTATAAGTAAATATATCTATCAGGTTCAAGAACAATTTCTAAGAGTGGGAACGAACCCAATATAGTATACTTATTATGTACACTAAATTAATATACTACCTATTATATTAATACGTAGGTACACGAAATAATATATTAATATGGATATTTAATTATTTATATTTAGTTGTTATTATTTATAACTCGGAAAACAGGCTATAAACTTTTTTTTGTATTTTGATGGCAAACAGACAATCATATATTGCCGTATTACTGTATTAACATTTAACCGTGGTGTATGTATTACTTATAGATACATACAACTACCGAAGTATTAAATGTTAATAAATTGCAACATCTTTATCGTTTTCGGCGAAAACAACCGTCAACGAAATCTAGTGAAGTTCTAAAACAATAAAACCATAGTCACGGTTAAGGACAGAATCTAATCGTGACCGATATCCAAATTATATTTCACCAGTCACTCTAGTATTTAGTGACTAGTAGATATTTAGACACGTTTAAGTCGTTTAACGGAATTTTGCTAACTTGTAATTGCAATATTTTCTTTCGGTCATTAGCCGTTTTCTCCTCGTCTTTCCGATTCTCAATCAAACCGTTTTAGTATTGTCGTTCGCAATCGGTTAATATTATTAAGATTTGTGTATTACCTAACGATAATTATTTTAACGTGAAAAATCACGTGAATCTGCATAAACCCAAAATTCAAATATGTAGAAAACACTTTAGTCGAGTCTCTGTTAAACAGTGGTGTGCAGACGTGCAGTGTGGTATCATTCCAAAGACGCTATTATTGTACCAGACTTCGTATAACAACCATAAGACGTACATGGCTCACCAATCACCTAGGTATAGGCTTTAACATTATTTATTTATTCACATTGACATAAAGGTATTCTTTGTGAGGATAGATATTTTCTTATGCCTCTTTATTTTAATGTAGGTAGTGTATACTACACGAGAGTACGACTGCAGTTTTTTAGAAGTTATTGTGTTTACATAATATAATTTATAAAGTGTGTATATTCTATAGGTTTGAAAATCCAAGTAAAACCTGCCCTGCTTATTCTTTATAGTTTATACTTCGGCTTTATTTTACTGAACCATATTCACTCGGTCCTCTGGTTTATTTTTATTTTAAAACCTCAAAACGCACTTTTACACATATCTAATTTCAAATATTTGATTGCTAATAAAATGGATATCGTGCTTATAATACACTCTTATTTTCGGGTCAAGAGCACTTGGCTCTTGGAGGATTCCTGCAGATATGTCTTATTATGCCAGACTGCTCCTACCTGAGGGGGTCTTCATAAAATAAATAACAATTTTAAGAGGCATAATAGACACTCAGGTCATAAGTGGTGAAGGTGGTGGTGCATTCAATACCTTTATGTTTTGCCCTAAATATATTATAATATATTTCAATACTTGAGCGCCGCTGCAGGGACCCTATGACCTCTCTGGGTCACCCCAACGGTATGGATGGGCATTAGGTCGAATCGCGACGAGGGTCGCCCCGAAAGATGGTCGCGGGTCAGGGGAATTATCGTTGTTTCGGCGTAACGAACAAAACGGGACATCGGAACGAACGTATCTAACCGGCACTCGTCCTTTTGGTAGGGGTGCGATCGGTGGGGGGAGGGCTTGCTTGAGGAGAAAAAACGCGGACGCGGTCGGCGGGGAAATTCATACGGTGCACGTGTTGCGTGTGCTGCGCTCTGATGCCCGGGAACCGACCAAACTGCGGTTCCCTCAGCTGTTGCGAGAGCGACGGCCGCCACCTCCACCAACGCCGCCGCCGTTCCACCACCGTTCCACCGTTACCACCACCAGCCCGCCACCAACACCGCCGCCGACGCCGTTCTTTGTCGTCGTCGTCGTCGCTGCCGCCGTCGCCGTCGTCCGTTCACCGACCGCCAGTCACTATAGTCAGTAGTCACCGCTCGCCAGTCAGTCGTTCACTTTCCGTACTGTATGTTGTGTCGCGCGTGCGTTTCGCGTTCCGTCCGCAGTCGCAGTTCAATCCGTCGCTAATAAATTATAATATAATATCAAAGAAAATAACGCGATACTGCGACAACATCCCGCCGCTTTGGTGTCCGATAAACCAGCACATCTCCCGTCAAAATCTCTGTCGTTGCCGTTTTGCCGTGCGTTAACCGTCGTATTACTTTTGGTTTATAATATAATATATACCTTTTCTCACGTGAATGGAACGGCAAGTTTCGTCGCTATTGCGACGGTCGAGGCGGTGGTCGACGGCATGAAACGTTCGTTGGCCCTCGGTCGTGCGGTTCATTGCGAAAATATGCGTCCGCGAAAAAAAGTCGGCCGACCCGCCGCAGTGTGACGACGATGAAGGGCACGTGAAACGCCGCCGCCGAGCACGGGGCGCTTAAGCCGGGCGACGACATGTGGCCTGCAGCTTCGCCGACGGCGCTCGCCACTGCTACCACTGTGGCCGTCTTCCTGACTGTGGTCGTCGGAAAGTTTGGACGAATAAGTTCTACCCCCGTCCAACATCCAGGTACACAACCTAATATATTATTGTTCTTAGCCATATCAATGATAAGTAAAAAGTTTGTCTTGGGGTTTTATGAGCGCTCGCTGTGGGAGATCAGTGTTTTTAAAACATCAGTTGAAAAACTGGATCAAAAGATGATAAAGTTTGGATCCCCTCCCCAGATGGTTTGAGTTGAATATTCAACTTGTGGGTAAACTGTTATCTTCGTACGGAATTGATAAAAAAGACCAAAATACCCCTTTGTTTAGGTACATGCATGCAGTTTCCCATGTTATATTTTTACATAGACTATTAACACATTGTAGAATCTAAAATATAGATTTTTACCGGTTACCACCTACCTTTAGCTTCTATACCTATTTATATATGTATTTATATTATATAATATTATAGTGAGTACTCAGGTGTTAAGTATTAAAATATGTTAGGAGTATTTATTATACATGCTATATACTTGTGTCTTGTGTCAATATATAATTCCATTATCATCGGACGACCTCGTCTCAATAATGCATACATATAATAGTATACAATATACATAGGTAATATACATAATATACAATACGATACATAAACGTATCTAATTGCCCGTGGGATGGACGGCCATCGTAGCTTTCTCTTGTGTTCTTGCAGTCGGAGCCGCCTACGCTAAGCCACGGTTGTTTATACAAACGATTCAACCGAAGAATGTCGTCTGCGGAAAGCGTCGTGTTTATTGGCGTTCGCTGTTCAGTCTATGTACTATATCACAATACGTAGTACTTGATATTTTTATGCATTAGATTGTAGGTATACCAGTATTTACTACCACATTGTTCTTCCAATGACATAGGTATCATAGTCACTATAATAATAATCCTCTTATTTATTGTCAGATGAAAAATTGTTCACGTATTTTGACAGCAAGATTCAAGTTTAGTGCTTTCCGGTCGATCCTAAAATATATAATAGGTATAATGTAAATAAATGTTGACCACCTATTGTTATTTTAATTATTCATCTATTTCACCTATTTTATTTATTTATTTATCATTATTATTATATTATACTTCTGCCAAGTTATACAAACAATCACCAAACATTTAATGAGTCAATTGTGAGCTTATGGTCCCTTAATCAAGATTTAGTGGCTCATGATTGGTCCAATAAATTCTAGTGAACCATTAAAATATGTAATTAGTATTTTATGCAACACGCGGCATTAGTGATTATTTTCATAACATTTTAGTAAATTTGTTATGTTTAAATCTGTTAATTGTTGTGTTGTGTTGTATATTTATATTTTTTTTAAATAAAAGTTCTCCCTCCCATAAAAAAGCTTTTGTTGCTGTCTTATATCTCAGCAGATATAATAAATAGAAGTTCAAGATATTGATAACATTTTTGTTATTTTCGTTTAGAATTAACAATATTTATAGAGTACCTAATATAATAAGTTAGACAATATGATATTATGTAGCTAATACGTAGTATAACCGTAAAAGTTGTATTATAATATACTAATATACCGTGGAAAGTTCATTGTAATTTTTAATAAATAAATATTAAAATATATAATAATTGATTGAATATATTATACGACTACGTATACAACTATAGGTATTTATATATAATCGATAATCCAATTTTTATTCGGTTATCTATGGTATGCTGAAAATATCTTGAGTAGCTATATTTATATAATGTATTTTATGAGAAAACTAACTAAAATTTGGAAAAAATATATATCAATAAAAGCTTTTGAAGTGGTAAGAAATAAGCTTATATTTGTAATCTAGAAAAGTAAAGTAATCTATATTTCGTATGATTTCATAAAATATATCATGTTCAATGACGGTCGAGTTCTATAAATTTCAAATGTGCTTTGCTATAAAACCAAGTTCGATGTATTTAACTTATTCCATAGTAAAGCTTAAATTATAGAAAATTATTTCTTAGTTCACACAAAGATTAAAATTGAACTTTGGCGATACTTCTAAGGAACATTTTTGTGAACAACTTTTAAAACTGTTTACTGTAAAATCATTAACATTTATAGCTTCTTATTTTTAAGAGGACATTTTTATCATACAAAATACTTTATGTGATGTATAATATCCATTGTGATATCACAACATTTAATAGGAAACTGACAGTAAAATGTATTTTCTTAATCATTTTTTTTTACCTACATATATAAAAAAACCACATGTTGGTCTTCATAAACATTTAAAGTTTGAATAACTGTTACATTTTTAATTTTAAGAATGGTGGTGATGTGTATAAATAATGATTTTAGTATTTTTACTAAAACGTGTTATTTTGAGCTTTAAATTTTAAAAATATGAATGGTTAAAATAATAAGAATGAATGTATGCTATTATATGATTTAAGATTATTAAGTATTAAGCGAGGTATTAAGATATATTTTTAAATAACAACATCTTTATTCATTATACTGTTTCAGAATGAAGTATATTTTTACAGATACCTATATTTTAATATTTCAATTAGTCGAATATTTAATTTTCAATACATTTATAGTGAAAACCATGCATTGTGTGGGTTATGAATACATTTAGTTTTTAATACACTTCAGAATGTCTATAATAATTTGTTTTTCGAACATTTTTAATTGGATAAAATGAACTGGCTATAAACAGTATAGTTTAATTATATTTCTAATGTAATCATTGAGATCAGATTTCAAACTATAATTCAAGGTTTGTACTAAGGTGAGCGAACCTAGTCAGAGTTCTTAGCACCCTGTCTTTATATCTTGTAATGTTACACACCTTAATTGTCATACTGTAGTGTATTTTAATTTAATTATAGAGTTTTTATTATTTTAGTGTTATTGCCTGTTATTAGGTTGTATACCTTCATTAATAAAAGAAAACAATTTGTTTCCTCAATATTTCTTGACAATTTAATATTATAAAATTTTCAATGATTTATTTGATGTACATTTTCATAAGCTATAACAAAAAATGTAGATACCGACGGTAACAGTTCGTTAGTTCAGGTAAGAAATAAGCCATAAAAACCCACAGATGATTAAATAAAAAAACAAATTATAAGCAATGTATGGACACCAAGTGTCCCTATAATTATTGTAAATATGCAATGTTCTTTAATATCTATAGTATGAAGATGAAATAGTTGAATAAACAAGATATTTTCAAAAAATAATTGATGATTTATCCATTATTTTCAGTCATACGTCTGTAGGATGCTGATTTTAAAAATGTGAATGTAAAACCACCTGCTCTAAATACAATACATAATGTCAATTTTAAGTGAAATTTTAATGAAATTAGTTGATTACTATAGGCTACAATGACTATTCAAAGCTATAGATAGATGGATAGTTTATATTTTAGTTTCTAAAATTCACTTTCGACGGTAGAAACTACAAACATTTTAAAAAATATGACCCTTTTCATAAAAGTTGCAGGGCTAATGGTTAACATCATAAACAATTTTCTTCAAATTGCAAAAGTCGAATACCAATTAGTTTTTTAGTCATAGTTATAGTCATGACTCACGAGGTACTTATTTAGCTTTGGAAATTCAAGTTTACTTAGAAATTGTTTATTTTTACAAAATAAATACTTATATGCTAGGCTACTAGCTAACGGCATCCTTCTGAAATTATCTGACTGAGCAATGTTTACTGAAAAATAAATAGTTTTCAATCATAGGCAATGATTGGTTGTATAAGTCGTGTTATGAGTACATATTTCTTACATTTTACTTGTAAATATTCAATAATATTGATATAAAAAATGTAGGCTGTTTTTTTTCTCATCAACAATGGGTAAAGTGTATGTAGCCGTTTTAAATTGTGTGGTGGTTTGAAGTCTACACAAAATTATAGCCTTATTGCTTATTGGAAACAATAATAACTTTTTTTTTACAGTTGTAATGTGTGAGTGGTCGTAGTGTTTCTTCGTATAAGATAAAAAGAAAATATATGAGAAAATAGTAATAACTCACTATTGGTGTAGTTTGTGTAAGATTTCAGTGAAGGCGGTGGTGGGCCTGGTGCTATATATAGTAATTTTTCGGAATAAAGCGATTGTGCCGCAGTAGGTAACAAATATGTGTCTGCTGGTAAAATGAGAAATAACACGCGTTCGACCGGAACAGCGAATGGACCATTTTCGCCTGGCCTTCGGAGCGAGATAAATAGTTATATTTCAAGAGATCAATAAAGAAAATGATGCTAAGCTGTATAGATTTATAATGCGTGTGTAGCAACACTATAAGTCGCTGTATCGTCGCCGTTGTCGTCGTCGTCGTCGTTTGTATCAATCAGACTCCCTCAATTTTGGTTAGGAGGAAGTGGAAATAAGTCTTGGACATGAAAACGTTCTGAAAGTCAATTTACGTATATACATTATATACGTTTCCAAAATTTTCATTCTTTAACGATTGGGTGTCTGCGTTTTTTAACCTAGCAATTTAAAATATAGAATATTATAGTGTTGATATAAACTTGGTATGTCATTTTAGGAATTTTGATTTCAACTTTACTCTTCATAAAGAATACGATTTGTCCTTAAAGTCTAAGCTATACTACACTTACATTTATAGATCATATGTTGCTTCATTAAAATTTGACATTAGATTTATTTATCCAAAAAATTATTTGTTCTTAATGCAATGAATGTATATACATATTATAAGACGTTTAAAATGAATTAGTATACTGAAAATCTCAACTGAAAGATCAGTTAAAAATAATACTTAATACCTAATTAGATACCTAGTAAGTTTATTGAAAAAGTATTTAAACTATTGATACTGTTCCATTATTAACTGGTACGATATCGACGAGTGTCTTGAACTAATTATAATTTTAAATAAGTGATTGAGAACTTTTGAACTTATTTTGTTATACATAATTTTTTTGTACATAAACATTTTTTATCACAATATTTACATAATATATATGATTTTAATTTGGTTATGGTATCTATTACAGTACTACTATATTAATTACTACTTATACATTTAAT